AGGGGTCCTCCCATGGTCCCCTCCCCACTTCTCCAGCCCTCCCCCACCTGCCTCCTACTTACTGGCATGGAGTCTGGGTCCAGCTCCCTGTGGTGGCAAGCAGGTACTGCCTGAATCTTTGGAGAGCTTCAAATTGCTTTGGACCTTTTTACTGGCCTCCCAATTCAGTTTGGATTCAGAGATTTGGCTGCCAAATTGGGCCAAATCTCCTCTGAATCGAATCAGCACCCAAAGCACTGCACAGCCCTAATGGGCAGCACAGTACAGCTCCATGGCATCAATCCCCCATGCCAGATCAGACTTCCATGAGCCAGATCAAGTCAGCCACCAATATATCCAATATATGGATGGTGCAGCCATATATTGTAGCATAATCATTTAAAACCTAAGCTTACCTAAAAAGAACCTTCAGTTTCAGTTGGGGGGAGGGTAGGAGGAGCCAATAAAAGTACTGCAAAATGCTAAGAGTACACATAAGATTGTACACAAAAAAGTTCTTTATCCTTTAGAAGGAAAGGCAGTGACCAATTGATTTCTAAAAATCCTTCTATCATTTCACACTGGGTAAATAAGAGGCCATTATTGAATGGACATTTCATAATTAAGTTTATAAATCTTTCAGAATAGCTCATTTTACTGATTTACTATAGATCCAGGCTTTGTTTTGGGCTCCACTTTTGTTTGTTTGTTTTTATCCTTATTTTCACTTATCCTAATGTAAATTTATAAAGATACATCAGTGGATACATTTTCAAAATAATCCATAGTTACATGGCTGCTACTATAGTCCAAAAATACCCCAAAGCTAGAACTGTGCACTTTTAAAAGAAGTTCTTCTTCACTGGCATTGTCAAAAATCCATATAATTCCCATTCCCACAAATGCACTCAGAGACTGCATGTATTTAGTAAGCTAAGCTATGTACCTACAGAATTATACATCTATATGGACTCTGCCTATTGAATCCCACTTACTTTATCCCCTCCCTCTTTTCAATAGCAGTCTCTTTTTCTGTGTGCAAAAAGGGATGGATTTATGGCAGTCTTCAATGAATACTACATACTAAGCTCTCATCCTGTAGTAGGGTGGACTTTAATAGAACTTCATAGGAGCACGAAGGTCTGCCAACACAGAACTCACTGATGGATTCAAGCTTTACAACAGCCTTCTTGCAAATTTTAGTAATTCAGTCAAATCACAATAACTTTCATCAGAACACTCAAAGGTTTGGCTATTGCCAAACCAAATGTCAGCTTTCTACTTTAAAAATATTCGAAGAATTAGAGGAAAATTTTAAAACCCCATAAAAACAACATAGCCTATTTTTGTTTAAATTTCCCCAAATAATCCATCTGCCTAGTCCTTAAAGATTTTAGCCTGTTGAAAGCTTTGCTAAATAACTGAAAAGAGGGAGCTAAAATGGAAACTGTTATGCAAACGAGTATGTAGTGGTTCCTTTTTATTGCATATTAAAAGATATTTTTGGAAGACAAGTTATATTACTGGACTATTTCAAAGGAAACCAACAAAAAGTGCAGGCTGTTTTTTTTAACCAATATGAGACCAACAACTTTCAAAGTGTAGTGCTGGGTCATGCTGCAGTTCAAAATGTAAAGACAATATCCTTACTGGTTTGTATAATTAAAAAAACCAAAAGAACCCTGCCAGGGCAACTGGAAATCTCCACTGTCATCATTTTTAAAAAATGTCCACACCAAATGTTTAGCCCTTTCTATTTTCCTCCTGTCTATTAGGCTACCAACAAAGTCATTTCCCTTTTTAAAGCACTGGTGGCTTCCCATTTTGCTATTTCCAAATCAGGCCTTTTGCCCTTGCCTTCAAAACCCTACAATATGAATTTGACCTCCTTCTATAGTTTCCTCAATGAGCTGGAGGACAGTTAATAAATCAATGAGCAGAAAAATACAAAAAGAATATATATACATGTTTCTGAATCACATGATCATGTGTGCACACAGCTTTCCGCCTACATCCCCCAACCCTCACTCCTTCCTCTTGATTTTCCGTACTTGAACCTTGTCTACTTATAATTCTCATTTCTTTCACCAGTTTAAATTTAGGTTATCTGTTCTTTATGGCAGGGGAGCATGTCCTGTTCTCACTGAAAATGCAACCTGGGACATTTCTTGGTATTTAAGGAAAAAGTTGTCCTTCATGATATGGACTTTTATGCTGTTGCAGCTTGACTAAGACCAGTTCATTTCCCTTAAGCCACAAAATGTTTTAACTTTTAATTTTTTGCAACTCAGAACATGTTCAAATCTCTGGCCTAGAGAGAAGAGCTTCCAGGCAGGATAAAACTAACTAACAAAATTAATGACCCATCACTACTAACATTATATCCTTTCCCACCCATGGAGATCTAGAATTTAAACTGCTTTCTGTTATACCAAATGCAAAGTAAAGGCTTAAGCAAGTATTTATTTTATTAATTAATTAGATTTATATCCTGCTGTCCCCAAAAGGAGGCACAGGGCAGCTAGTGGTATGGATGTTGCTTGACACTTTTCTTATATACTGTAATCTTAACAGAAAAAAGACAGAAAAAACAATATTCAAGGTATATGTTCAACATCAAAGTTCATTTTTGATCCATTTTGTAAGATTTCCTTTACATAATCTAATTAAGTAAACCTTTTCCTTTACTTATGAAAAAAAATCTCAATTAAAAAAGTACATTCAGAATGGAGAGCTACTCATTTAAAATCGCTCCACATTACAATAGTTATTGCTATTATATTTTCTCTTAAGTACAATATACTACCAGACAACTATTTTTTGCCAATAGCTTTGTAAAAGTATAACTCTCCAAGAGAAAAAAATGAATGTAACAGTGGTCATCTGAAGTCTGTTTACGCAGGGATTGGCAATTGGCAGGGACTTATGGCAGGGATTTATGTTTATAAATTACTTTTATTAACTGTCTGACGTATGTGGTACGTGTGTAGCATCTTATTATATATTTAAGAGTGCAGGAAAAAGCCATTCTATTGTATTTCTCAAATTCATTTTCTCCTAATCTTGTCAAGATCGGAGTGACTGAGTTGGAAGCAGACTTAATTTGTGGCAAGTTGGTAAAACTAGCTTGCATCTCAGTTGAGCAACTGAAACAAGAGAGGACTCTGAAGGAGACAGAGGTAGAAAATGGGAGGTAGGGAGGAAACTGTATTCATTATAAAATGCAATGTTTAAAATTCCCTTTATCAAATGCACTGTTGTACCAAGGTTTTAAAAATGCATGCTATCAAGAAACTGAACAAATGAATCAAACTTCACTATACAGCATACTAAAAAAAAATAAATAAATCTTAGGTGTTCCCCCTTCCCATTCCTGTTCCCAAGTACTTGCACTTATAAACAGTTTTTACCTGAGATATTGTGAATTCAGAATCCGACTCCTAGAAAAGACAAGAGACAGAGCTGTGAAATAAGAAATGAAACTACCCAAACAATGAAAGAACAAAAAAAAGCTTAAGATGGAACAGAAATAAAACATGCAAACCTAAATTAAAATAATCTGTGATCTCCATCACAACCAGGCACCTTATTATTAGATCGTATCCCTCTCCTTTCTAGAGCCAACTGAAGTCTTCCAACAGAGGTAGCAGATTTATGCAAATCACAAATTAAACACTACAACATTTTTTAATTTAAGAATATCCCACATACCATAATTAAAAGGTATCTTTAATTTATCTTGCGGGACAGCTACAATTATCAACCATTATAGCTGAGTGACATGCTCATAATATATACCAAACTTTTGGCACTGGAATTCTTGCCAATCCCTATGTATGGCATGCATGAAGAAAAAGGTTTTTCCTCAGTGTCTCATTAACAAGTGATGACTACATCATAAAAGTATTAAAATAAAGTATCTGCCTGCACATACCTTTTTATGGTGAACACAATATATTGATGCAATTCACACACACATGATCTAAGCAGTACATTTCATATTAATACTGTGGTATTGCATCTACCACTTGCACAAGTCTGAACAAAGGGGAAAACCTGTCAAAGTAATATTTAAATCAAATGAATTTGTGGGCCTAAAATTTCAATATTTGAAATTTCAGAGAACTGTTGAAGCCTTGCACGTTTCTAAAAGGAGCTGGACAATATTTCTGTAGGTTGTTTCAAGTCCTACAACTATTAGAAGCTGTATGGATTTTACACAAGAGTGTAAAATATAAAAGCTAATAGGTTTTCCAGTTTCCTAAGCAACTCAAATATAGATTAGCTTTGTGACTGTACACTGGAAAAATCTGTGTAAGATTAGCAGTGGTTCAAAATAGTTACCATATACATTAATCTAGTTACTGAAATCTATTAAAGAACAAGCTGGCAGTGACCTCTATCACTTAATACCGAGGAAGAACTGAAGATTTAATTGAAAAGCGCTTACAACATCACTTGTTTAAATTGTGAATTTTGGCAGGAGGAAGGCCCACAGGATGGGAAAAAAAGCCTTTTCTTTGTCTGAAGGTGCTCCATTCAGACACAGCTGAGACACAAATTGTTAAAAATAACCATTCCCTTGTTTTGTAAGATCTCTGGTTCAATTGCCATTAAAGTATAAAACTCTATTCAGCCTGTTGTACCTGCCTATTATAGCATATACAATCTACTATAAAATAATTTAAGAGGAGCAGGTGTTCTTACTTTCTGTATGTGCTACAAAAACTAATGAGGAAAAGGTTAGTGATACTGTGTCAGCCTTGACTCAAAAATGCTTTGATATTACAGCTGTATATCTTAACCTAAGCCTTTGCCATTCTTGAAGAAATACATTTTAAGGTCACTAAAATATTTCCTATATCATAATGTGAAATAAAGCTATGAATGTTAAAACTCCTATCATTTTGAAGAGGATGAGGGTGACTAGCTATATGTTAAAAGCTTTCACCGCCTTGAATACGCTAGGATAGAGCTGTCCAAATGCCAGCCCATGGGGTAATGGAGCCTGCAAGAGGTTAAACTGCAGCCCCTGGGCTCTCACCCAGCTACCATATTCCCCACCACCACTCTGGCTGCAACAACAGCCGGAGTCTCTGGGCTCCTCCTCCCTCCTCCAGCTTCTGCTTCCTGCCCTTGTCCCAGGGGGTGAGGCTAAGTGCAGGAAGCAGAGGATATGTCTGGGCTATGCTGGGGGGAGATGGCACCTGCACGGGGCAATGTTGGGGAGGATGACCAGCGCAGGGGTGAGAAGAGGGGTCCTGCAAGGGCATGCACTACAGTGGGAGGGAGAGGGGTCCATACGAGTACACAGAGACACAGGTAGAGTGTCTACATGGCATACACCCCGATAGCTTGAGCCTTGATTGTTGTGGCCCCCACACTCATCTGAACCCTGGGGGCCTTGTGAGTAAAGAGTTGTAGGACAAAGAATCAATGTTTTGCCTCTGTCTACACACATGAAGCCCCTTTTAAACCAGTAAGGTTATATATATAAGCATAATGGAAAGAAACCCTTAGACCCAGATTTAAAAATCCAAAGGATGTTTTAAATTAAAGTTTGTCTCTCAAGTCAACTATTAAAAACAAAAGATTTTATAAGATATGCCTTTTCAATTCTATAGCTTGAAGGAAAAGGAGTTTCTAAACAAAACAGAGATGACAAATTTTTAGATTTAAAAAAGCCTCTGACTGCAATTAGCTTCAAGCTGAATTTGATGTGATACAAGATAGTGAGACTCTCAGGATACAATGAAAAAGCAATTCAACCTGCTAATGGCAGCATTTGAGAAAAACATCACAGAACAGCAAAATGACTCTGGTCATGTACAAACATTAATTTTTAGCTGTGTGTGACAATAACTATTATCAATTGAAGATGCTTTCAGAAGCAAAGTGCCATGTGCCTGTACAGGCTACTTATATCTTAACTGTGACCTTGTTAAAATCAGGCTGCAAGCAGCAATGTTTTAAGATGAGTTCTTGCTGTGTAGATAAAATTGAGTTAATTTTTCAAACAATTTGAAAAATAACAATATAATAATAGCCAAAGATAAACCTATCAGCACTGAGAGAGGTGAAATAGTTTAAAGAAAAAAAAGCAAATTCTTAGACCAAAGGATTAAACAAACTAAAAATGAGACCTTAATTACATATCTATTACACTGTTTGGACACGTTTCCTTTAGATTGCTGAATCACTGTAGCCCTAGTTCATCAATGCTGGTTCTGTACCTTGAATCTGACATATGGAACACACAACAAATAATCAGATTAGGCTACTAATCAGGATGATCAAAAAAGACATCAGCAGAGTATATCCTCTAGGTCATGCTAACAAAGGCCCCTTTCTTATGGAAAAGGAAAAAATATTTTCATGCATTTATATCTTACAGCTAGCGTTTGGAGACACTGTTAGATATCAAGTTACCAGCAAACTTATTTTTACTATCTACTGTACATTCTTACATTTCTTAAATAATTGCAGTACGTATCAGGAATGCTTCTATATGGTAATCTTTAGAAATTTACAAAATATAACTGAATAGGAGTTGCTCAATTTTTAAAAATATTTTATCTAATTATGTTATAAGACATAGATTAAGACTATCATAATTCTTTTAAGAATAAGGGTTTAAAATAGCAAAGCAGAGTACTTAAGAGCAGTGTCTGAAAAAAAAATCCTGATATATGCACAACTGGCTGAAAGTCAATTGATAACGTAGAAAAATAAAAATAAAGCTTTTTGTATTTACTTCATATGGTTGGAGTGAATTCAGTGAAAGTTCCTTACCACCAGTTACAAAGATTTTAGAATCTGTTTCCTGACTGGATCACAAACTGATTTTCTGGATCATCAGATTAACTTGCTTTTAAAATACTAGTTTCAGGGTAAAAGCTGCTTATACTTCAATGTGTAGCTCATCAAGATACCTAGAATACAATATGATACAGTACTTTCTTTGGAGAGCATCAAGATTTATTGCCCAAGTCCATTTCTTAACTCATATTCTTTGGTAGGTTAATACTGATATTAATATTAAGTGAATATTGTATTTCATGAGTATTGGGAGCTGACAAAAATACCCACTGTTAATGTGCCCAGCACTCCATTGTAAAACCTTGCTTCCAGTCACTTGTAACTTTATCAAGTTTAAATAATTTATGATAACATTTTCCATGCTGGGATGATTTTTTTATATAGTTGTACTGTTTTTGAGAATGGTGAGCTATTTTCTTTATATTTATGACTTATAACTATTTTTCTGAAAGCTTTATTAGCACATTCATTGTTTGAAGCAGCAACCTGCATGCCAGCAGGATGATCACTAGGACAAAAACCAGGGATGATCCTACCTTGAGCAGGAGGATGGACTAGATGACTTTGTGAGGTCCCTTCCAGCCCTACTTTCCCAAAAAGACTGAGTTACATAAAGGGGGAAGCATAGTGCAACAGCAAAAGAGAATAAGAGATGTTGTGGAGATAGAAGCAGAATGGTGGGAGGAAATAAGCAAGAAGTGAAACTTGGTAGGGGAAGGAAAGAGGAACCTTTTCAATAGTACTTAAGCACCTCTAAACATTTTATTGTCTTCAACTGCTTCATCACTTAGACCATATCGTGAAACAAACTATATTGGTCCAACATTTTCAATAGTTGGAAGGTGTGTCAATGAGGCAAAAGACTGCAAGAGAAAGGATGGTCTTATGACACTTGAGTCATCCGACCTATGTGATGTTCCTCATTTCACTTAACCACCCATGCATTCATGGATTTCTCAGGGACTCTAGCAGGGCGGTATAGGGTGAAATAGGATCATATTTAGATGCCTGACATGTGGACTAAGAGCTGCCAGCTATTCTGATGTCTCAGCAAGCCCCAATCTTTATTCAAAGCAAATGAAATACAGATTGCCGTATCTGACTGTGGTATGGTTTGTCTATTGCCTGTATTTGATAGACTCAAAACAATATGCAAAGTTGGGCACAGTTTTAAAAGTGCAGATAAGAAAATGGAGTCTTGAAGCTTATTATTCCTTTTTGTCTGACCTGAATCAAGGATGAACACGTAACTGACTGTGCATCTGAAGATGCCAGGACTTGAACTGGAGACTAAGAGCATAAAACTGCACTAATGTGGCTAGACCTTTTAAAGTTTTATAAACTAGAATCCAGAATAGTGAAAAGAGGTATTTTTGGACAAGTTGCCAGTAGCAGTTCTTATTGGATTAAGATTTTCTGTCAGTTATAATAAAAAATATAGAATCCTAATGATGCTGAATAGCTGATATACCAGTTGGCTGACCACAGAGAAGACAAATCATTTTACCTTAGTCTGTCTTCTAACATAATATCTATTAAAAAAAATAAGGCTAAACTATACCTATCCATTTAGAGAATAGCCTTGTTAGATTTCACCTGGAAGACTTCTAGTGAGTGAATCTGATTCAGTTTGCTACAATGGAGAATATCCCACCTTCCAGTTCAGTTTCTTCAAATC